GAGTTTCAAACTTGGGAAGATCATTTACGTACTTGCAACACCGAATATCGTAATGCTTAGCTCGTAGTCCTCAGGCCCAATAGGGTTCGGAGAGATCTCCACAGCATTGACGGTACCGAAATCGTATCCACTTTCTACAATAGTCGCAAAAATTATTTGTGTGGAAGTTATGAGCATGCTAGTGTTAAAAAAAACTTGGATCTCTAAATCTTTCTTACAAAAATAAATCCAAAAACATTTACTGAATTGATACGAGTAGGTACCTAATGAAAATAATATAGAATTAACAAAACTAATGAACCGACTCTAGGCAAATCGAGCATTTACATTTCTTATAAGATATCATGCATATACGATAAGATTTACTACTATATAAACATTTTAATTAAGTGGAAAAAATACTCGATGATGATTAGGATTCGGGAATAGTATGAGTTTCATTCAAGATTTATCCGTTTATATACAGAGATAATAGCAATTAAACCACAATCTAATAAGAACATGTGTTTCAATATACTAACACACAAAAACACACAGAAAATAACTAAACGACTAGCAAATCGATACTTTTTTTTTTGCTAACCAAGCAAATCGATACTTACTGTTGCAGTATTCGAAATCGACTGCGCGTAATGCGGGTAAGAAGAAGAGTGATGCGAGAAGAAGAAACAAAGGCTGAATGTGAGATATCGCCATGAATAAGCTCGTTGATTTTCAAAGAGGCAAAAAAGATTTTTGTGTTTGTGCTATGCTTCGATCGATGACTACTATTTTATAGCCTGTAGAATATACTAATATATTATCTAAATTAGTGGATCGGTTCATAATTGATATATATCCCTACTATATTATATAATCTGCCACGTTATGCAGGAGAGTCTTAATATATAAGCGTAAATGTCATTGGTATTGTCAATTATTGTCACCTACCTCCTTTTTTCATTTACAAGCACGTAAATTAATCTCGGAGAAATAAAAGCTTTAGGTATTAAACGAATCTATCTAAAAAAATGTTGTTGTTTCGCAGGAGCATGACCATGTGGTTCGGGCATGATTTCCAAAACAAGAATTCTGTTTATTAAATAAACGATTTAAAAAGAAAGAAAAACAAATTTAAAAACGCATTTTGCCAAAAGATAATAAGGAGGTAGACTTGTTTTTAAAAAAAATACCCTAAGTAATATACATTTAAGTTTTTGTTCCAAAATTACTAACATTAGTTAAGATTTCCAATAATAGCATAAATTAGTATGTGAAAAAAAGAATCTTAAATAAATTATAAACAAAATTAAAAAATTATATGTGGATTCTTTTTCCAATTTAGAGTTTAAATTTGTTCTATTATAAAAGAATTTTAAACCATTTTGATATTAAATTTTGCTATTATTATAAAAATTAAAAATATGGTATTTTTGAAAATATTTTTGTATTTAATCTAGAACCGCATTTTACATTTTTTATTCTTGCCTAACATACGAAACATTATTAGCCATTTGTTTTAAAGATTGCGGAAGAATCATTTTTATTATTATATATTGGAAATTCAACAATTTTAGTTTGTCTAGCTGTTCAACATTTCTATTTTTAATTCCAAAACATGATTTCCAAAACATGACGATGTGTACTATATCTCTTTTATTATAGTCTAGTCAACATATTGTTACTAGTCGAGATTACATAACATTAATAATACATTTATTTCACATCCTAGTGCATTTTTGTAATAGTAGAAGTATTGCTGCATTGGAAATATAAATGACCGAACAAATTGCCAAATTCTGATCTGGCCAATGCGGACCTAAATTGGGCTCTCTACTTTGGGCCTAATAAATGGCTCAAAGCATAAAATGGACTTAGGGGGTGTTATTGATTTTTTCATTTTTAAAGAATTGAAATCCATTTCTAAACGTAAGATTTTAAAAGTTTTAATGAGATTTTTTTAATTTTATCCAAATGACACCTAAAATATTGGGAATTGGTTGTTCACGATTTTTGTTAAAATTTCCATTAAATTTTTATCAAATGACATTGACAACAATTACCACATAATATTTAATAACACTAACATTTAGTGGAATTGAAAAAACATTAAATTGAATAACACTAGAATTTAAAAGAATTACTAAAGTGTTTTATTGAATAACACTAGAATTTAAAAAAAAAACTTAATTCATTCCAATTCAAACAAATTCCTCATCGAATACTTCCCCTTAATCTATACAAAAGTGAGGGTGTTTTAGAGTTGCGAAAAATGGATCGTATTGTATACTGTATTGTGTACTTCCCCCTTAATCTATGTTTATGTTAAGAATT